AACTTGTATGAAATGGGCACTAGTCTTGGCAGTGGTTCAGGAATTCTGTAATGCTGCTCCTACTGTACTGGAGCACTGTTTCATAGCAGTAAATGCTGTGACATTAAATTAGCCCACAACATTCTTGAAACTAGCTTAAGCAGAAAGAAAATACCTCCTTTCCAATCTACTTTTTTCAAAGGAGTCTGGAAATAGCTGCAGTTTCTTAAAACTGCTAGCACTCATTGCACATCTGTTAGGAAAGCTTTTTTCCCCAGAAGTTTGAAAACCTGTGCTGTTGTGGATAACACTAATCCTGTAATTAAGGGTTTAGAGTGATGTTGAGCCTCATCTGTACTTACTGTTCATGGGTTTTTATTTATAGAGTACCAGTGGGTAACAGGACAGAAACAGACAGTTCATTACTGCTCATAATGCTCCCAATTTCTTTGCCTGTGTACTTTACAATGTTATATATCTGGTGCTGGCTTCATTCATATGCTGTCTTGCACAGTGAGGGAAAAGTTGTTTGTCTTACGCAGAGGAAGATCTAAGTCAGATTTTTAGCTGGAAGTTTTTACCTGTTTATGAGGTGAAGAGAAGTTAGTGGCTCTTTCAGTGTACTCTTGGCACACCCTGGGTAAAACCTATGTAAGGAACAGTCATGTAGAGCCTGACATACCTCTTACTTCAAGAAAAAAAATCAGTATTCTGTTAGATGTAATACTGAGCTGACAACACTGAAAGTAGTATTTATTTTTGACCGAATCTACCGTATTTCCACATATTGACTTACCTTCTGCTAGAGGTAATGCCGTGAACTTGATTAAGTTGCATGTAAGCTTGGCCTGAATGTGCTAAAATAGCAGAACCTATAGCTTCCTGTACAAAGGCTTTTTTACAGCCTTTGATCCATATATCAGGAGTTCTTGCAGGGTCTCATTTCTTCTCTATCCCTGCCTCCATGCTGTGGAAGTGGAGGAAGCATTAGTAGTAACCTGGTGTGGATGCTTGGGGGGGGGGTCCCCCTCCCTAAGCTTTATCTGCCAGCTATAAGGACTTGATAACTGCTTGGACCTTGAGCTCCTTGAGAGGTGGTTCTGTCTGTGGAAAGGTAAGATGCTGTAATGTGTCTGCAGCAAGTGGGGTGCTCAGTTGGGGATTGTGGTTTCTCAAGGTGGATCAAGGTCAGAAGGGACTGAACAAAATAGTCCTTTCAAAATAGTGGTTAAACCTAAAATAAACTTTCCAGCTTCCCAAAGTAGTGTCATGCATTGCTGTATCATGGGATATGTTAACAAAAACTGGAATTTCTAGTTTGAAAAGCTCAAGCTTTTAATGTGCATTTACACCAGTATCATTAAATCTAATGATTCCCTGTGCAAGACTTCTGCTAGGAGACCATATCTGTGAAAAGTCAGGTGTTAAAGGAAAAAATACAGTGGAAATTACTTGATAGCGTGCCTCAGTGCTGAATGCTCCAAGTTCATGCTGAAGTTAGCCAAGTATGGTGAGGGGAAGAAGGCAGAGTGTTCTGTATGGCTTCTGCCTCCAGGATAGATGGGTTGTTTCTCATCTCAAGTATATAGTGACTGTCCTAAGCAATGGTACAGATTCTTTGTCAGTTATCTCTTGTCATGTGGAAGGCTAAAAGAAAGCAGGGTATCAACGATAAATACTGGGACACACCCTTAAATATGCTTAGAGGCAAAACCATGTAGTTTGCAAGGGGGAGACCAGAGCAATGGAAAGGGCTGACTTTGGAGAAGGCACTTGTCAGAGTGTGGGGGTGGATGGGTGGGAGGAGGGAAGTCCTGGACAGGAGGCTCACTAGAGAAGGTGCAGGGCTGTGTAAGAAAGGAGGACAGACCCAAAAAAAGCTGTTTTTCCTGTTGCAACAGGCGGAAAGATGCATGCAGGAGTAGAGCCTTTGAGGCAATGGGAGTATGTTTGCATGTGGTGGTGTAACACCAGTGAGCCGAGGTGGCTGTGTACCAGCCTCCGGTGTGCCAGATTGGTCTGAGATGCTGCCAAGTGCAGCGGGTGCCTATGGGCTGTGCTTGCCTCTTTCTCTGAGGTTGGTGTCCTAGTCTCTCGTTGTTTTGATTGAAAACTTGAAGTTTCACATTACTTTCTTGCCTTCTGCTTTAAAACTGCCTTTTTTAGTTCAGTGGTCATTGTGGGTAGGAAGAGCACAAACTGAGAACACAAGCCTGCTTTCCTTAAGAAACCCAGACAAAAAGTCATTCTCTTGCAAGAAGGAACTGCAATTTTTCCAGTCCACCATGGAGAGAATTATCACTTTATTTAATCCTACAATTTTTTAGTGATCCAGAGCAGTACACTGACATCAAGTATTATCACTATTCTGTGATCCCATAAGTCGTCTCTTGCCTGCCTGTGATAATAACTTTTTCACAGGATGACTGCTTTTCTGAAGAGAAAACATGACACTTCACCCTTCCCCCCCCACCACCCAGAGTTAAGTATGTCTTGTAAAAGGAGCCATATTAAGTATGTCAGCTCTTCCTAATGTTAACCAACGAGTTTGTTTCTCGAAGAGATCATTAACTGAGCCTTCTGCTTTGCTTGGACTTGTAAGATTATCTGAACGGTTGTAGTATGGCTTAGAGCTTCTTTACAATTTGAATAGTCTGGCCCTAAAGGTCTGCTGGGGGATCAGCTCTGGGTTTTAGTTTTAGTCCTTTGCTGTGCCCTGCTCACTTTGCAGCACTGTCCTGAGCGCTCTACTCAAACAGAGGCTTGTCAAAACACAAACATAGGTAGGTGCAGACAGCTGGGTGTGCTTAGGCTTGTGGCTTTGCAATTAATGAGTTCCTAGCAAAACAAGCAGAGGCTGTAGGTTTCTTCTCCTAATGCTCCAGGTCTGGATGCCTATAAAAGCTGAAGACTGATGACGTGGGAAAGTGAGTCTCAAACAGTATTATTAAATACTGGGTGAATTAACTGTAGGCTAGAATTGGTGTGTGAGTTTTTTTCCATCACTAAGCCATTCTGGTTTTTGAACTGAGACACTGAAGTGAGATGAGATTGCAAAGGCTTTAAGTGATGCTGTAGCAGTGAGCGCAGGTAGAGCAGCAACCCTTCTTGCACCTCTCCCTTCCCCTGGGGTGCTGCTGTTGCACAGTAAATTGAAATAATAACACTGTTGTAACATACTGTGTACTACCAAGGTTCTTCAGTGTAACTTAAGTTATTTTGTCAGCATAGCCCTAACAAGGAAAGCAGTAGGTATGTGCAGGCTTTGTTCTTGCTGTGTGCTTTGTGAGTAAGCCTGTGCCTACGTACCTGTGACACCAACAAAGTCGCTTTTGCATAGGTCTGGAAACCTCCGTTTGGGTTTGGCTCTTTATGCATTGCGTATCACTTCATCTTTTTACCAGCTAAAACCCTGCAGCTCCTCTTGGAGGGAGGCTTGGGAGTCAGGTGTCTGCCATACAAGAAACACTGGTTTTTCTGGCATGGCTGGCCTCTTGCTTTTCTTCACTGATACTGGAGCCTTTTAGCACTTCAGTTAGATGCTTTCTGCTGAGAAGCTACAAGGGATATACTGTCCCTTAAACCCTTGCTTAGCTCCATCCTCTTTGTCCTGTGTGAATCTTCAAAGCTTTCCTTAATTTTTTTGGAAGAGCAAGCCTAGGAGGCTAGCAAAGACAGCCACAGGCAGCAAAGCTGTGCCTGCCTTCAGTGCACACAAGCACTCCTGTAGCAGGGAGAAGGGGCTCCTGGGCTCCCGGTGGGGAAAGCGTGGGGCTGGGGGAGTTGAGCTTGGTGTTGTGTGCTTTCTGTGGGAATTCCTTCCATATTCTCACTGAAAATTAACATTTTAAAGTAAACACTTTCCAGTTTCTTGGAGGCTAATCAAGAATGCTGTTCCCTTCTAGAAGGAACTTCTTATCAGAGATAAGGCTTTGGTTTTTTTTTCATGCATGCTTAGCCTAACCAAAGCTTCAGACTTCCTAAGCTTATTGCTCACTCTTAAGCTTAAATTTTTAATGTCTGCAATGTGTGGTATTTCTGTCATCATCTCACTTTTGTAGAGTTTTTTTGATAGTTAAATGGTCTTCAAAGGAGAGAAGGAAGAGCTGAGAAGCACGCTCCAGCTCTGTAGTTTGTCCTGGTTTCTCTTCTGGTTTTGCATGCAAAACAACCCCGGGTGTTTTGGGCTGGTGAGGTGGTGAGGATTCAGTCTGTTCAAAGCAAACTGTTAGCATTTGCCTTACCAGAGTGCAATTCCCTCTTTCTTGCAACACTTCTCTGATGCCTTCTGCCAGATGTTTCATCCAGAAGCAGCAAGTTTTTGTGTGTATAAATTAGTAAAGACAGGCACTGATGTTAAAAGGAACCCGGAGGCACACAGAGACAATAATATAATAAAACTAAATATTATCTAAAACTTGTGTTTTTCCAGATCAGCACACAGCAATGTTGCTATTTCAGCAGCCTCTATCTTCCTCTTGCTGTCAGTGTGGTGACTTATTGGATTGGTTTTATCCTTTTTTGCAAGAAAGAGCATTCTTTCTAAACTCTATATTGCAGTACACTGAACTCTTATCAGTCTGTTAAATATTCTAAAACTTTTAGCTGGCCTTACAAGGTGCTTTTTCTTGTGATACACTTGTCTTTCAGTGTGAAGATTTAAGATCACTAAGCCATGCAATGTCATTACAGTCACCCAGAATAAAACAGTGGGTGGAGCGGTCAGTGGAAATACTGACACTTGGCACTTTGGTAAACCTTGGTTATTTTCAGTAAAGAACAAGAATGGCATTGTTCTTGTGTGTTGTAGTTTAATATGTAAATGCATCTGTCAATGAGATGCCTCATGTCAGGAACTAAGTTTGTTCTTGTTTTGGTATCGCCATCCTTTTATGCTAGTTCTTTGTCACCACCTCTTTAAATAACAGAGCTGTATCCTGTGTTTACTTCTAATGTTGTTACTAATGCAAGGGTGAATGTATTAATTGGTATTATTTAACAAGGCTTACTTGTTCTTACAGCTTGCAGGGACAGCAGTTCTTGCAATTGGACTATGGCTTCGGTTTGATTCGCAGACCAAAAGCATCTTTGAACTGGAATCCAACAACACGACGTTTTACACGGGTAAGCTAGGAGATGGCTCGGGGTGATCATACTTCTGCACCCTGATTTCCAGACTGCTTAGAAACTTTCATCCTCCTCGAAGACTAAAGACAAAAGGGCCCTGAACAGCAGGTGGAGAGCAGCTTCCCCCGGCTGGTGCAGGGGGCCAGCCTCTGTTGTGAGCTCTCGTGCGGACAGCGGCAGTGTCACACTAGCAGTATCTTGGCCTCTTATGCATTGTATATCACTTCATCTTTTTCCCAGCTTAAACCCTGCACTTCCTCTTTGGGTGCTGTTGGGTAAGCGTTTTGTTATCAGGGGCTCCTGGTAGGCAATAACTAATTTTTCCCCTAAAGTGACCAACCTAAGCTACCTAAAACCACAAGTCTATTGCCTCATTTCTCAGAAGGAGCATATGTACTACTGTCTCACTCTTACAGCCCTATGTATGCTAATTTATACTGAACATAATGGAAGGGATGCACAAATATCTTGGTCTATATGAGCAACTCTTACAGGCAACCTAGATCAATGTAGCTTTAGTTAGGCCAGGTGGAAGTTACTCCTTGATATTTTCTGCTCTGCAAGATGAGCAATTAGGGGACAAACATGCATGTTTTCAGTTTGCTATTCTAATGTTGTAGGAGTTCCTAACTGAATCGGATTTTGTCCTAACTGTAAGATCTTGATCTCTACAGTCACTTTTAGGTTTGGACAGAGGAACACATGCTTCTTTGGAGGTTGTCACCTGTAGGTGGGCCTTCCCTTTTTGAAACCAAGTAGCTGTGTTTGAAGACCTCTAACAGTTGGGAAGAAAGCAAGTTCAAATATGTACCTTTCTTACATATGTGCCTGTCATCTTTGATTTGGATTTGGACAATCCTTATACATACATATTTCACATCCCTGTAGCACCTGGATTTGCTATGTCCTGTATGGCATCACTTGTTAGCCATCCACAGCATGGTTCATAGAATCATTAAGGTTGGAAAAGGCCTTTAAGGTCATTGAATCCAACTGTCAACCCAACACCACCATGCCCACTAAACCATGTCCCTAAGTGCCTCATCTACATGTCTTCTAAATATCTCCAGGGATGGTGACTCAACCACTTCCCTGGGCAGCCTGTTCCGATGTTTAGCTACCCTTTCAGTAAAGAAATTTAGGTTAGGTTGGTCTGTCTCTTGCCAAGAAAACTGACTGTTGTGGTGAGCTACTCAACCTGTCACAACATCCAAACTGGTGTCTAAAGGGTCAGTAAAGACTGTGTAAGGCATACTGGGAGGTGCAACTCACATTGCAGCCTTGTATACTACCAGGGTAGCCTGTGCCTACAGGGAGTACTGTTAGGAATGATGAGTTAGGCTTGTTAGAGACCGTAGTTGGAAATGTTGAAATGCGTGTGCAACTTCATGAAGAGGCCACAGGCATGCAGATGGCTTATCTGTGAGAAAGCTTATATTTCACCCTTGATATGCTGGCATGGTAGCAAACTGGGGGGGGCTCTTGCAGCTGCCAGGAAGGTTTCCATATGCTTTTACTGGACCTTGGAAAGGGAAAAGAACTCTAAACTTCGCTGTTGAGCTGAATATTTAAGAAGTTTTATTTTGGGTAGTCTAAAACAATTCTTCAACCTCCTAAAACATACAAGTTTTATGATGTGATACTTAAGCTACTGGCTGAATGCAGGCAGTGAAATCTACTTGAAATCTCTGTAGATTAAACTGAGTTTTAAAAAGAAGTTTAATAGGAATTACTATTTTAACAGTTTTTCTGGGAGTAGTTACTGACTGCAGTTTCCACTAGGAAATTGAAAGAATCTGTCGATTTGCACCTAGTAACAAAGCAGGTTACCTCAAAAGCTTTCTATATTACTGAAATAAGAGGTTCTGATGGGCTCTTTTCTCCAAAATGAAAAGGTTTAATCTGGGTTAAAAATTGGTGCCAGAATTTCC